GTTTAATGTTATAGTCTTTGAGAACAGCTATGGTTTCATTACAAATTAAACATAGCGCCTTATTACTGGACTCAATCACAAAATACTGAAAGTTCCATTTTTCTTGGAACGTTCTGCATTCACTGTCGATTTTTCGCTTCTTTTCCATACTAACAAATCACACATAAAAACAATAAGTCAAATCAAAATACTTTTATTGACGGGTGTTACTTTATTTCACAATAGACATTTTCGCTTCCTTCGCCTTTCCTACGCAGACTAACTCGCAGTTGCGCCACTAGCCTTTTTATATTTGCCCTTGGAACAAACTGAAAAAATCATTATGGCCCGAAGGCTTCAAAGTTTGGAGACCTCTGCTCTAAGAGAATAGTTTCTACAGAGTTGTCCTGTACCAACTTTTGTTCTGTTGAAGCTGTTCAGCGATTTTTTCTCAGAGGATCCTTGTAACTTTTTTTGTGAGTTCCTAGAAATACTTTCTTATTCAACTGTGTGTGCTTTGGTGATCCATGTCCTCATCCAATTCCATACCAGTTGTGAAACTAAACATGGTGCTAAATATTATTATAAAAACATTCTGGATGTTAATAGGTCTTGATTGAGAAGATTTTATATGTTTCGCAACAAAAAAAGTGGTGAAATTAATCCCCGAAATCGAAATTGTAGATTAGCATGCAAGCAACTCCAGACGAACTGAATTGATTGATTTTCGGTGATGTATTGCCTCATGTGAACTTTTAGCATTGGCGTTTATGCCAGTGTTTTGATAGTTCAATTCTGTAATCAATTTTATATGTAATACAAATGATGCAGAAATTATCTCTCGCTTTAACTAAATTTGAAAATTCGTTTAAACTCATGTTTAAACCACACGTCAAAATGGACATTTAAATCATACGAATTTGGAATAGTGGTCGTTGACAGTTACCAACCGTTTTTTCCGAAATGTCACTAGCATATATCCTTAAAATGAAGAAAAGTCACTAGAAAACGAATCATCTGTTAAATTAAGTTTTTTCTGAATTTAACTGAATTATTAAACTGAAATGAGTTAAATAAAGTACAGTCAACAGAATAACTTATATCACAATGTTGTTGAGAGGATGTTGAAAACTCTACACAGCGTTCTGCTTGTTTTGTAGTTGAAATTAACATCAAGGACTAGTTTAACTTGAAAGAATGCCCTTTGGTCTCATTAATAGCAAGCTATTTAGCAGAGATTGATAAAAAATAATGATTACAAAATGAGGACATAAAAAATCCATCTGAATTGAACTATGGTAACCTTATTAGTTTTTATCATTGGCTTGAACTCCTCCTTGACAGAAATGGCATGTAATTTTTGCATATCATTTGTTGAACAAGCACGTGTACATGAATATAGATTTTGACGCAAAAAATCGATTGTCACAAATTGAACTATATGCATTTACATTATGAACCTAACTGACTATACTTTTCCTGCTTATTTGAATATGCATATGGTTCATATTTTTATTGGCAAGGTCGACGTAGCAATAATCTAGACAGGGTATGAAAAAACTTTCACGATTTCATTTGTAGCGTCTTTATAACGAGATCTTCATTATATTAATTTTTTATTCGCATAATTGTGAATTTCAATATATGGAAACGTATTCCTCGCCTTTAATTTCATCTGCGTTTAGAGATAATAATTATGAAACCTTTCTGAAAAGTTCAGGTACCTTCTTGTCGAGAATTCCGAGAATTCTAGCCAAGATTAGTCAATCTTTCTGAATGCTTCTATGTGCACAATTAATTACAACATTAAGCAGTGCATAATGGTGTTTTCGATTATTGAAATCTCCATATGTCAGTAATCGAATTCTAAAAGAAAAAGGACACAATTTTTAAAGGAAATACAACTTTTGTCTGGCGTATTTTCACGGAAAAAGTAGAAGAAACTGATTTTTAGCTCTATATGCGAATTATTGCCGCATCTATAATTTTTTGGTCAATTTTGACTGGACTAACAGTACTCAAAGTAAGGATCGCCTCAAAAAACAACAGAAAATATCAATCAAATATCAATCGTTGAAGATTTCGAACATGAGCATGTTGATAATAAATCAATTGAATAAATAATAATTGCAATGAGTTATTCTCTTTGTACACCTGACTTAACTGAACTTCTCTATTTTTCTTCAAGATGCAGACACCCAGGTTGTCAGAAGGCTTTTTCACAACTGAGCAATCTCCAATCACATTCGAGGTGCCACCAGACAGACAAACCGTATAAATGCAACTCGTGCTACAAGTGCTTCAGTGACGAACCATCTCTCTTGGAACACATACCGAAGCACAAGGAGAGCAAACACCTCAAGACGCACATCTGTCAGTATTGCGGCAAAAGTTACACCCAGGAAACGTATCTCAGCAAGCACATGCAGAAACACGCCGAGAGAACGGACAAAAGGCCGCCTATAGGGCCTGGGCTAGGTGAGTTTCACAACTGTCCTCATTTGATTTCAACTTCAGTTTGTAAACGCCAACACGATTTACTTTAGTTTGTATAATTCATCTGCAAAACACCAACAACCATACTTATGATAATGACCACGAAACAATCTCACGAATCTGGCATCCTTGAGATCCAGAATTCCACAGCTATGTTCTGGGCATGCCAAAGACAAATTTAAAAGTATATTGGAATGCATGTTGCTTTGCACGCCAGTCCTTGAACATTTTTGGCCATGCTGAAAGGGCATTTGGATCTATGTTCAATGACAGAACAATGGTCCATTTCTCTTTGACGTCTCCATCAATCACGAGTCAATTGTTATTGCTCGCCTGAATAGCTCTGAAACATTTTCCCACCTCTATGAGAATACACAGGAAATTGCAGCCAGAAAATGGTTGAAGTTGCCTTATTTATTCCTGATTCTATAGGTCATTGGCCGTTTTCAATGACAAACTCTTATGGATCCTGGAAATTACAATCTTTTGGTCAGGAAATGGGTGAAGAGCTAAGCAGTTTTATGGTCATGGATTGTGCCTCATCTTGGACAAATTCCAGAAAACATATCCAAGACATGAAACCATTGAAACTTGGACAGTTTTCTGTCCAGAGTATTAGACCGAAGAGTGATTGAAATAGGTTTGGGAAACATTTGGGTTTGATATCAATGAGAGCTCATGTCTCCTTCCAAATTGGCCTACTGTACAAAAAGTAGTATTCGACATTGAGTCAGGTTACTTAGGATTTCTACCAAATATTGTTTAATCATTGTTCGTCATAAATTACTATGATAGTAGAGAAAGCATATTATTCTTGGATCAGTTGATTCAATCAACAATAGGTTGTTGAAGCAGCTCCCGGAAAACTTCATCAGATATCTATTGGACATAATCAACATCTCAAATACTTCCCCCGAAGATGGAAGCATGCCGTAGCTGTCATGATTCCGAAACAGGGCCAGAACCCGCTGTTTCACCAGAATCATCGTCCGATTAGTCTGCTTTGCTCAACGGCTAAGTTGGCTGAACGTGTTGTGCTGCAAAGACTGACCGAAGAAGTTGAAGTCCGAAATGTTCTGCCTGATGAACAATTCGGCTTCAGGAGGGCACACTCCACCGAGCTGCAGGCCCTGAGACTGGTCGAAAATTCCATCTCAGAGCTAAACAATCGGAAGACAGTCTATCTCGTTCTCCTGGACATTTCGAAAGCCTTCGATCGAAGCGTGAAGGCTTACTATACAAAGTGCTCGATTTCGACCTGCCTCAGAGCCTGATCCGGTGGATTAGGTCCTTTCTGAAAGGCAGAACATTTCAGGTACGAATTGAAGGAACCCAGTCTCCCGTCAGGGAAATCCAAGCTGGAGTACCTCAAGGAGCTGTGCTGTCTCCACTACTGTACAGCCTTTACGTGAGCGACCTTCCGAGGTTCGATCTCGTGAAGGTTTCTCTTTACACCGATGATACGGCTCTCCTCGCTTCTTCCATGGGTCGGTCGTTGGCGGTCGTCTACATGCAACGCGGATTGGACGGCCTTGAACGCTGGTACTTGGAATGGAAGATTCGGGTGAATCCAGGAAAAACTCAGGCGATAGATTTGGGAAGACGTAACGATACAAGAGTCACGATTTCAGGCAGGGAGATCGAATGGCAAACGCCAGTCAAATACCTAGGTCTTTGGGTAGATCGCCGACTCACCTGGGTAAATCACATCGAATATATCAAGAGTAAAGTACAAATGAGCACAGCCAAACTCTATTATCTGATCAACAGGCTTGAACGATGTTCAAGCCTGTCATTATGTATGCTTGGGGCGCTTGAGCACAAGCCGCTCCGTGAAACCTCTCCATTTTGGAAAGGTTGCAAAATAAACTAATCAGGATGAAGCCATCCGCAGAGATTTGAAACTGTTAACTATACGGCAGTCCATTCAGTCGAGAAATCAGAGAGTTTTCGAGTCAGCGGAAACTTATGATAACCCATTAGTTAGGGAAGCTGTAGATTACACTATAGACGACCCCACTCGATTGTTGTTAAAATGAACAGTTCGTTCATCAAATACCCCAGTCAGGTAGGGGTATTGACCTTTATGTCGCCACCAAAATACCCTACGTTATGAACCACTCGTCCTCCTGACGAAAGACAGTTGAAAGGGTAAGGGAAAAGTTTCCAACATGATTAAGATGAAGATGACTATCGTGATTCTCGGATCCATAAATTTGAGTCAAATAATCTTATGGATCACAGGAGGCAAATCATTAATTGACAACCCAAATTATGTTCAGAAGAACAGCCAAATGGCCTGTAAAAAGTAGTAGGTATAGTGCACAAGATTTTTGGAATGGGTGTCATGAAAAGATGGAGGGAATACGCCCATAGGCTGCAGTGTTTCCCAGAGACATGGGAGAAATAGAGCAGTCAGACGGCTCCTAAGCAGTGGAATACTTTTCTTACTTTCAAGATTGACCCAGCATCATGAAAGAGCAGGCATGTTGATTGGACCCAACTAGGGCAAACGATTTCCTAACCCAAAAACGTTACAATCCATAGTGTGGAGTGTATTCTCTGGTTAAATGTTAGTACATCCTCCAAATGTATTGGAGATTTGCAGAACGAGTTCAACCTACATACATTTTTGGTGAAACAATAATAATATTCATTTTTGCTCTTTTTACAAAACAAGGTACACTAACTCCAAGGACTTAGTAGCCAAAATAGGTTAAAATGTAGTAATTCGAAAAATTTTGAAGGCATTGCCAATGTAGCCCTTTGTTCCATCAACTCTGAAGAATTTCCATTATTTAAAAATCAGAATTTTTCCCAGGGCTGAACCACCGCGGTCTGGACCACCCCTACTGGCCCAAAGTGAGCCCAGATAGCGCAGAGAACATGCACGACTACCCCAACGATATTCCCCGTCAGATTTTGGAGCAGAACGAAGACTTGGTCATCATCAGGCAGCAGCTTGGTCAGAATCCTCCCGCCCCTCCTGGTACACCCAACACGAACCTGGGAAATTCCTACGACACGTCAATTTCGAAATCAAACACTAACTCAGCATTCACTCCGATCAATTCCATGTCGGGTCACTTGAACCTCAACCATCATCAACTGGCCCCAAACAGACCTTACATATACGATGCTTTGAGTTTCCAGAAACAGAATAGTTTGGATATACCGAAGTCGCAGCCTTCTAACGGATTCCCTAACCAGCTGATCAGCTTGCATCAGATAAGGAACTATGCTCACCAGCCAAACCCTACATCCTTGATGGAGCATTCTATCTTAGGGTTAGGTAAAGATAAGTAAAGTATGCTATGGTTTAGGGATGGTTTTCACGGAACTTGTGATCAGATGCCTGCCCGTGATCTCGTACTAATTTAATTTATAAGGCTATGTTGCAATTGAATTCCCAGCTTGGTTGGATACGAACCAATAGCTGAATTCAATTGTAACAAATTTTTCATTCGGGTTTCGCTTAAAATTTGTAATATCCGTGAAAGAGTGCAAGATTATGTGGGTGGCGTTTCCTTTGAAAACCCTTTACATATTTTTACGGGAAACGCCGCTTCATGAATTGAAAAAGGTATAAAGACATTGTGAATAGTTGTAGTTGTTAAGGTTGTACAGAAGAATCAATGTAGTTCAATTTTATTTTTGTGGACCAGAATTCAACGTTTTCATAGAAGTATATTTTATTTAATTTTTCTAAAGGTTTATTTTCTGTTTGAATTTTCGTCCCCAAAACAAGATAGCTCAATATATTTTATTTATCAGAAGGAATTTTATTTTCATTTTTGAATGAAAGCAATTTTTTTATTTGGATTCTGAGGAATGTTTCATTTTGCATTATTTGGTAGACATTTTTCGTTTCAACAGTTGTGGATATAATTAAGTTTTCGGTGCGAATATAGTATTAATACAAGCTGTACGAAAAGTTCTTCGGGGGATACGTTTCTGTTTTCTTTCGGAAGTTTTTGTACAGTTCGTAAATGGTAGGGTTAGAAAAAAATAAACATTTATTTGATTCTGCTTATTATTGATATATTCCAAAATTGTATACCATTGGTGTATATTGTTCCGGTACTTGTGTACATATTTTGTTGCCAATCTACGTTACGTTAACGTTTATCACATCACTTGTTAATTTAAGTTTCGAAACAAGCTTTAAAGTATTACCTAGGGTTAAATTTTATTTCATTTATTGTTAACATATTGACGTGTATGTTGAGTTTGTAAAATATTTTTTCAAATTTTGAAGTTGAGCTTTCCTAGCTTGTGATTATAGATGTATTTATGAAGAAAGGTTTTTGTTACATACTTTATTAATAAAAAGTACTATCATTTATGTTTTTCGTTTTGCCTCATTCATTTCATTTCCTTTTTTTGCGTCACGACTTGATGTGAGGACATCTACGAAATTTTCCATTTCATACCATGTAATCCACAATTTAATCAGAGTATCGGTTTTTTAGAGAAGCAGTATCATTTGAGACGCGTTTACGCATAAGTACTATATTTTCTTTTGATATAAATATTTATAACTGTGATATTTTTTCGTACTGAAAGGATACATTTTAAGAGATAGTCAATTTGTACATATTGCAACAAATTTCTAAGAATGGATTGAAGGTGTTAGGTTAATTTTAGCGAGTCAGTTCCGATCCCATTTAAAAAAGTTCGAATATATGTTCGACTCAAAAATGTAAGATATATACAAAATTATACCAAGTATGTGGTGGATGTGAGTTCACGAAATCTCCTTTTTGAATTTTTACCAACACAACGAATTTTTCTTTCCGTTCATTTACACTTGTAGCAAACTTTTAGACATTCTCAGCACTTTTAGAAATAATACTTTCAAGTTGTCGGTGTCCTTAAAATTTAATGTTATATAGAATGTTCATTAAATGTATAAATAAATTATTTAAATCTCTAGTTGTTGTTTTCTTTGAAGCTGTCAAAGCCCGATCAGGTTAAACAAACTAATCCACTGCAAGAACCTTCATCTATTAACACGCTTTTATTAGCTTCACCTGTAATTATGTTTGTTTGTCAGTTTGTAACTCTCAAGCTCGGGATCTTTATTTGACAGAATTATCGACAGTATTGATTGATCTATTCGCGGACAGATGGCGCTGTACGTAACCTTCTTGATATATCAACATTATTGCTTGATCTATTCGCCGGTAGATGGCGCTGTACGAAACCTCCTTGATATATCGACATTATTGCTTGATCTATTCGTTGGTAGATGGCGCTGAACGAAACCTCTTTGATATATCGACATTATTGCTTGATCTATTCGCCGGTAGATGGCGCTGTACGAAACCTCCTTGATATATCGACATTCTTGCTTGATCTATTCGTCGGTAGATGGCGCTGTACGAAACCTCCTTGATATATCGACAGTATTGCTTGAACTATTCGTCGGTAGATGGTGCTGTACGTAACCTCCTTCATATATCGACATTATTGCTCGATCTATTCGCCGGTAGATGGCGCTGTACGAAACCTCCTTGATATGTCGACATTATTGCTCGATCTATTCGCGGGCAGATGGCGCTGTACGTAACCTCCTTGTTAAATCAACATTATTGCTTGATCTATTCTATGGCGAGGATAACTTGCGCCCGATCCGGCTGAATTCTGGATTTAAGAAAATATTTTTAGGTATTTAATCGCTTATTTAGTTACTATCACTCAAGAAATACAATCAGTAATCTCACAGTCATTCTACAACTTAGAAAATGAATTAGTACTGAAGGCAAATTATGGTGAATGAAATACTAATTTCCCTGCATTAAGAGGTAGTAAACGGTTACGCTTGTCTGCGTAAATAGGCCAGCTTCAGAAAAAAGTATTTTGCTATACACGCTGCTGGAAGGTGTTGAAGAATATACAATAAGTCAATGAATGAAACAATTGTTTACTTCGCTTATCAACGAAAAGATCCGAATTGGACCGAGTCCACCCTATTGTTCGCGCGCCGCCTACGCAAGCGTGCTTCTTGCGATACACCAAATGGCAACGTTTCGTAGGATATTCAGCGACCGATTACTATCCGGGTGCAAGGTTGGCCGAATATCTCTGAATCTATAGAGTAGGGAGGTTGAGTGTAGACACATCACTTAGGCCACATGTGACCCATTGTACATCCTCGTGAGGAGTTGTCCTCCTAGGTCATTGTCCATCCTGTCCATCCGGCAGGTATAGGCGAAGACTCGCCGAACACACAGTCTCTTTGGCAACCTTGGGGTGTCTCACGGTGGCATCCGCGAGGGTTTTGGAAGGTGCAGCGACATTACTGTCGTTGCGCGGCTTCTTCAACCTTCTTGGGGTTCCCTCCGTAGAGGTGCACAAGTGAGGGACCTTTCCTGCAGGGACAACCGGTTCCTTGCCTTCATTCAAGGCGGAGATCTTGGCGCCTGCCGCCTTGCTGTTGGAGGTGAAGTGGGGGAGGAGGAGGGTGCACTTATAGTTGCTGCCAGTCCTGCCTCTTTCGCTCTCTTTCACATTTTGACCTCGGCGCCAAAAATGCGCTTACGCCTTGGCCTTTGTATTACACGATTCCTTACACCTTAGCTTGGGTAGGCTGGTCCACGGTGGCATGTTTTGCAAAGGCTTTTGGGGAGTTTTAGTTCCCCTCACCCTACTTATTTCTGCCACTGACCAGGAGTCCGGCGACCCCGTCCGTAAGGCCACATCGGCTTCCCGGACCTCCAGTCCCCTGGCTGTTCCCCTATCCGCCACCTGGGGGCGTGCCCGATAGGTAGCCCAACCCACGGGGGTTGGCCGAATATTCGGCTAAAATCTATTTCATATCTAATAAAAAAGCCTTTTGGTTGGGGGAAACTTTCGGTAGGTGATTTGTGAAGCGTGCGGACTGGCATTGTCGTGGCCAGGATCGGACCTTGTTGACCATTGCCGGCTGCTACTGACGCAATTTCCCGTGCATTTCGTCGATTTTCTCACAATATGACCGTGCTGTGATGGTTTGGTCCGGTTGCAGAAAGTAATAGTGAATAACACCAGCCGCTGACCACCATACAGTTACTATACTCTTTTTTGGTGGGTTTTCACCTTTGGGAAGTACCTGGGTGGCTCATCAGTGTCCAACACTGTTCTGAACGTCTCCTGTTGTCCTAGACGAACTTTTTTGTCATCTCACGTTACGATCCAACTCAAAAGGGATCGTTTTGGTTGCGCAATGACAAAGAAGAACAGACTTCGTAACGTGACAATTTATGTCGATCGTTGAAATCGTACGGCACCCTTTTTTTTCGAGCTTTTTGACCTTTTCAATACTTCTTAATCCATCAAGAACCGCATGGGAGCTGACACCCTGTTCTTCCGCCATCCCACGAACCATTTGTGATTAATCCATCTCCAGCAGAGTCCACAAAGCCTCGTCCTGGATTACTGTAGTGTCTTCAAAGTCATCTGGAGTTCAGATTCCCTTCTCTGTAGGGACATTGGCTCTGAAAAAGCAGATATCGGAGTGTTTCTATTCAAGATTGGTAAGTTGGTAGCCAATGAACTAGACTTGATTTTCAACACTGAACGGGGTGACCCCCATGTTAACAAATGAATCTGCTAATGCATAAGGTTTCCCTTGAGGACATGAAGACCTCGGCTTATCCAAGAAAATAATCTTCCGACTCCTTCAGAACAACTAGGCTAGAGTTGGAGTCAAAAAAACAAGTCAATAAATTAATAAATACTACATATTATTCTAGGGTGACAAAGCAGGATTATCTAGTAAGAATATATCAAGCAACGGGAGCTATTTAACTCAATTTGATTATTAGATACAAAGAATTTGTGTACTTACTGATTTCCATGCTTACCAGAAGGTCAAGTTCCAAACCTTTCTTCTGGAAATGAAGAGTTTTGAATTATGATTGAACTCATATCCCTCTGGAAGGGGGTGAGTAACATACGATGAATTTTTTTCCATTCTGGAAACTATGTTCCTTCATGTGTGCCCTGAATATTCTTCCAGTTTGACCTATATGAAACATCGGACACGGACCACAAGACAACGTATACACTACTGATCTATCTGACACCAAACTGTTGTCGTTTTTATATTTAATATGCATACTCAAGTTATTAACGCGATATTTAGACCGTTACTATTTAAGAAAATAGAAATCTTTAAACTAGGTTGGCCCAAATATGTTAACATTCTATACTTTTCCTCTCGTTCCTTGGAGTCGGGTGAATTTATAGTCACAGTAAAACTTTTTTACAGTTGTAATATTTATTATTATATATTTAAATGGCTTCGCTGAAACGATGTAATTCTGGCGGCTCAGGGATCTTGAACTACTTGTTTCATTCCTTAGGGTAGGATGACCATTTTCAACTTAAACAATTCAACAATCTGTTGAACAATTCACCAACAGCAGTGTTTCTGCAAAGCAATAAAACAGTGTAATTGAATGACAAACTCAATCATATTCCCAAAGATTTCAATCGCTCATCTCACTGGAAATCGGACTATCATTGGTATTCATATCTACGGCTGTCTTCACTTTTTTACACCCCCTGTATACAGCGTTTTTGTTTGCCATGGCCCGGTTTTTGATTAACCGTTTTGCTTGAACAGGTCCTTCTTCTTCTTCTTCTTTCTCGGCTGGTGTTTCTCTTTGGAACTGACTATAAGCATTCTGCAAATCACCGATTATTGTAGAAGGAAATGCCGAGACGCCGGGACATTTTGCTGTAAAGTGAAATATTTTATTAAAAATTCTATGACAAAATTAACCTAGAAGTGACAGGTGACAAGCGGGCCACACCATATTTGTTTCCGAAGCGAGATGATACACACAATAGGCACACAAATTTAATATTCCTTGTTCTTGTCTAGGCAGCTGTAAACTGCTATAAATTTTTCTTTGGTATATGTATAATACTTCACAGTTAGTTGTACCCCCTGATTATAAGCATTTATCATTTCTTGAGACAATGAACTAAATTAAATTCAATTGATAAAAATAAATATTCGAATCTTCTTGTCTCATCTACAAGAATAAAAACGAGTATTTTATCTCCTATCCCAAAATCAAGTCTCATAAAGGACTCTATTATCTATAACGGAATAACAGATAGGTAATATCAGCAATAACGGAAACCAAAATATTATTGAATTTCAAAAAATCTGAAGGCATTTCATGTTTATAGTCTTAATGTTTAGTCTTAACATAATGAACTTGTCTTTACTTTCAGAAAATATTATATAGGGATGTATATGTGTACTGTGTGTATATATGAATTTATGTAGATAACAAAATATTATCTTCACTCTTCTAACAATTAACAAATATCTATCTATCTGATGATCATTTTACTTTACCTGAATACTGTCTCAGCAATTCCTGATACTCGTCATTTGTATTTTTCAACTTATCGATGAGGTCAGAAGAGAAACTCCTACTGATGAAACGAGTACTTACTTGAGAGGTTGTTTGTAATATAAGCCGTATAGCAAATAAAATGCCCCTATTTGGGTGAAAAGTGTTCTTGGAAACATTATATACTTTTTCACATTGTGAAAACAATTCTGACAGAACTCCTCAAGCAGAAGAGCATAGTTTTGGCCCCTGAAAAAGACATTGTTAAAACATCAGTATAGTGTGACAGAAATAATTCAAAAAATTAAAAAAAAACCTGTATTGAATTTTTTAAAAATCATAAATTGTCATCTCCTAATGAAGGCTATTTGAATGAAATTGGTAGGTATATTACAAAAGTCAAAGCTGTAAAAAACTCAAAAAATTACTCCAAACATTAACCTTTCAACAAGTTACTTACGCAAATACATATGTAAAATTTTTCTCTTGCCAAATTTTGGAAAAGTCTGAAAATCTAAATGATTGCAGTTTTTCAAATTCCTCTAGAAATTCATCACAGTCAACTTTGAATGCAGAAGCTAACTCCTTGTCATACTGATAGAGCCAATTTATCTTCTGTTCCAAACGTCTACCTCTATTATTTTCCATTTATTTAGATACTAAACACACTAAAGCCAAGGCAGAAACCAATGTTAATGATCAAAATAAAAATGAGAAGAAACTAATGTACCCAAAAATTTATTCTACTCAGATTTGCCACTCGATGACCACATTAAATTTGACAAAATAGGAAGCATTTAGTGTTGTATTATTGGCAACAATGTAATTTTAGCTTATGCTTCAAATTCTCGTAGTTTAGTACTATGTAACTATTACTATTGGGTTGAACGTTAGATTGAATTAATTTATAAAAATGTGATATTAAATTGCACATAAGCGTAAGCGTATATTCCATACGTCAAATTTTCAGAAGCTAGCATAATCTCGTAGAAGTCAAACACAAGATTCATACTTTTACAATCATTAAACTAGACTTGCTGAACAAATCAATAAAAGTTTGACATAAACTGTCAAAATGTATTATGAAACGGTAAACACCAGCAGAATTATCGAATTACCTGAACGTAATAAAATGTGCTTCGGCAAAACGTGATACAAAATACTATAGTATTATATTATGAAAGTAAAGTGGAAACGATTCTACACCTCATTTTCATTTATTCTACTTTTGATTCCTCTACGAACTGTTAGAAACGTCAGCCATTTTATTATCACAAATTGGACAATTTTTCATTCGAACTCATTTATTATGTGAACAGTATGAAGGCGCTTGAGGAAGCTATTGTGAAGTGAAACACGTATTGCGGTTTTGTAAACTGTCCTGTGGAAATTTCACAATAAGGTGTTACTTGAAAACTCATGAGTGTTACATTTAAAGGAGTTGAAGAGAAGGCATTGTTACCCAATTACACTATGGGGACGATTAAATTTTCATATGAATCAATATAAGCGAGTGAGTTCATTCAACGGAAGACTGTGGCAGAGTCAATAGAGTAAAATCCGGGCAGCCATAGCGAGACTAATATAAGTGGCAATGAAACACAATTTAGGTACGTTTTGTTGGCAAATTTTGTTGGGCATTTCCGATCTTGTCATATTTGACAATATGACGTGACGTTTTGGTATTTGATTTGGATGATGTCATCCTCATCTTGTTAATATGGTGTATTGTTGAAAATTGGGACGATTTTGATTATTTGTTTAATTTGTGTTGTTTTCATTATTTTTGCTTGAATCTTTTTTATTTCACCTAAATACCAAACAGTAAGTTCCATACAATTAAATCGCTGTTCACTTAAGAAGAACTAGATTCAATACGTCACATTCATAACCACTCATTGTTTATCATATCATAATTTTTTATTGTGGCGATCTCAGAGATAAGATATAAACCAACAAATTGCTTCTGAAACAATGCCTAGTAATACTTATTTCTTTCCAGGCCCTAAAATGGAAAATCCCAGTGCTAGTCGAGGCCCTTCCAAACTGGAACAGGCCCAGCAACAGGTAAATGAAGTTGTGGGCATCATGAGAGTGAATGTCGAAAAAGTTCTCGAGAGGGATCAAAAGCTGTCTGAACTTGACAGTAGAGCAGATGCTTTACAAGAAGGTGGTAAACGCTTTGAACAACAAGCTCAGAAACTGAAAAGGAAGTACTGGTGGAAGAACATCAAGATGATGATTATAATAGGTGTGATCGCAGTTATTATTTTGATTATTATTATTGGTGAGTATATAAAAAAATTGGTATAAGTTCAGCTACACAAAATATTAGTTTGCTTCTAATGCCAAATGGATGTGAATGATTTTTTGTTGTATGTTCATTTAGAATTAGTTTGGATATTCCAACATTGAAAGAACTATTATCGAGACACCTTTGCTCTGGCTTTACATTATGAGTTTGTCTAGCAAGAAGATCATTTTTTTTGTTACGTCTGTTGAGAAAAAAATTGCACCTCTTTATCTTATTTTCATCCCTAATTAAATAGTGAATATGTTTGATTAAGACATTTCTATAGTTAACAGTTGAACAATTGATAATTTATCAATTAGCTAACTATGTTGTCAACTTAATTCTTTTATATTTATTTTGATCTTTTTAAAATGCAATATGTAGAAATATTCAAAAATATGCCCACTTTACATTTCAGATGTAAATAAGTTGTTGAACGAATATTGTACAAAGAACTTATAATTTATTTCCATAAAAATGTCGATGTGGGAAATACTTTTTTTAATATGGAATCTAAAATGAGATACCAGATACTCAATTATCGTTTGGTAATTATCATCTATTAATGAGTTTATGTCCAAGGTCTACAAGGACTTCACATAACAAAAGGTAATGTACACTTGTAAAAAGGATGAACCTTGGAAATATACATCAAACAGAACACGATAAAGTAATTTCATCACTATCACCGATAACAATTTCATGAATAACCTCTGGTAGAAGTCCATTATATCTCAAAATGTAGTGTAGTAGGTTTGCAAAGAATGAAAACTCAAAGTCGTCTCCACAATTTTATTATCACCCTCAGATGGTTTTACCATTCTTACATCTGAGGGTGATAATAAATTGTGGATACGACTTTTGGGTTTTTACTCATTGCAAATTTTATGAATGCACAATATATACATCTACTCAATTCTTATATAAATTCTGTAATGGCTTTGATGAATTGGAAAATTAAAAAAATGTACACGAATTTGAAGAAGCAATGCAATTGAGACACGCCTGAAGAACTTTGAATTACATTAAAAAAACATTTATCATGTGTTCTTTTCTTACGAATGTTTGGAAAACACATGAAAGTAGTTGTTTGCTAAGGACGTCTTTTTTCATACTATTCAATGTTCACGTAAAAGTGGTTGTTCCGAGAGGGCTTTTTTCCAGTTTGTAAGAGAAAGATAATTATGTGCATTGTCACATCACGTGACGTCCAAAAGAAACGACATCGAGATTTGTAAAATACAAGTTTGAATATTAAAGTCTGTTCTAGGAATAAATAGATAAAACGATGTCATTATGAGGAATCCGAGTCACCTAGCAAGATTTTATTTTATTTTGACACAAATATATTGGTTGTTTGCAAGAATTCAGGCCTTCGAGAAAAACAGAGTTTTGGGATGCTTTTGAAGTANACATTATTGCTTGATCTATTCGCCGGTAGATGGCGCTGTACGAAACCTCCTTGATATATCGACATTATTGCTTGATCTATTCGCCGGTAGATGGCACTGTACGAAACCTCCTTGATATATCGACATTATTGCTTGATCTATTCGCCGGTAGATGGCGCTGTACGTAACCTTCTTGATATATCAACACTATTGCTTGATCTATTCGCCGGTAGATGGCGCTGTACAAAACCTCCTTGATATATCGACAGTATTGATTGATCTATTCGCGGACAGATGGCGCTGTACGTAACCTCCTTGTTAAATCGACATTATTGCTTGATCTATTCTATGGCGAGGATAACTTGCGCCCGATCCGGCTGAATTCTGGATTTAAGAAAATATTTTTAGGTATTTAATCGCTTATTTAGTTACTATCACTCAAGAAATACAATCAGTAATCTCACAGTCATTCTACAACTTAGAAAATGAATAAGTACTAAAGGCAAATTATGGTGAATGAAATACTAATTTCCCTGCATTAAGAGGTAGTAAACGGTTACGCTTGTCTGCGTAAATAGGCCAGCTTCAGAAAAAAGTATTTTGCTATACACGCTGCTGGAAGGTGTTGAAGAATATACAATAAGTCAATGAATGAAACAATTGTTTACTTCGCTTATCAACGAAAAGATCCGAATTGGACCGAGTCCACCCTATTGTTCGCGCGCCGCCTACGCAAGCGTGCTTCTTGCGATACACCAAATGGCAACGTTTCGTAGGATATTCAGCGACCGATTACTATCCGGGTGCAAGGTTGGCCGAATATCTCTGAATCTATAGAGTAGGGAGCTTGAGTGTAGACTCACATCACCTAGGCCACATGTGACCCATTGTACATCCTCGTGAAGAGTTGTCCTCCTAGGTCATTGTCCATCCGGCAGGTATAGGCGAAGACTCGCCGAACACACACTCTCTTTGGCAACCTTGGGGTGTCTCACGGTGGCATCCGCGAGGGTTTTGGAAGATGCAGGGACATTACTGTCGTTGCGCGGCTTCTTCAACCTTCTTGGGGTTCCCTCCGTGGAGGTGCACAAGTGAGGGAGCTTTCCTGCAGGGGCAACCGGTTCTTTGCCTTTATTCAAGGCGGAGCTCTTGGCGCCTGCCGCCTTGCTGTGGGGGAGGAGGAGGAGGGTGCACTTATAGTTGCTGCCAGTCCTGCCTCTTTCGCTCTCTTTCGCAGTTTGACCTCGGCGCCACAAATGCGCTTACGCCTTGGCCTTTGTATTACATCATAAGGTGATCTGCTATGCCCAGCTTCATTCCAAACGGTAAATTAGGGTGGACATTTCTGGTAGGAGTAGCCCTTATTCAGGCAGACTGTGACGTCATCTCACCAGCCAGGTTGCCTCTCAACTCGCCATACAAGGCAGACAAATCACCCAGTCAACCAGAGTACACCAAATTGTCACGTAGTGCGCTGTCACCCAATCGGGGTGTATCAAGTTGTCACTTGGCGTCCTAAAATTGTCACGCAGTTTGCCAGCTAATCAGAGCACATGCTTCTGCATCTCAGAACATCGTGTCGGGAAATTTGAATTTTCTGTGGACATGAACAATTCAAACAGACGACCAGGCTTATTCCTCAACAAGACAGACCACCCAGTCACGTGGCACGCTTTCCTCAACCTGTCACTTTTCCGTAGTAGGAGTAGCCCTTATTCAGGCAGACTGTGACGTCATCACACCAGCCAGGTTTTGCCTCTCAGCTTGCCATACACGGCAGACAGATCACCCAGTCAACCAGAGTACACCAAATTGTCACGTGGTGTCCTATCACCCAGCTGTGAACCAATCGGAGTGTAATAAATTGTCACGTAGCGTCCTCAAATTGTCACGCAGCTTGCCAGCTAATCAGTGTACATGCACGCCTAGATTGAGGTGAGCACTTCTGTCCAGCCTCGGAATTGGTTTTTGTTTGATCTGTTTCGTTCATGTGTGTCCCCACGAGTAGCAAGGGAAGAGTTGGTCACCTCTGGCAGTGTCCCTCATTACCAGAGGTAGGCTGATTACAATGAGGTTTTGCCCAGTTCCCCAAGGAGATCGTTCGTAACTGCATATCACCCTGCGGCCATTCAGCTGTCGGCACGATTCCTTACACCTTAGCTTGGGTAGGCTGGTCCACGGTGGCATGTTTTGCAAAGGCTTTTGGGGAGTTTTAGTTCCCCTCACCCTACTTATAATATGTTTATATTAGGTTTCCTATTTCAATAAGGATTATTAGTATTATTATTCGTGGACCTCATGATTAAACTTGATGAACTGTTTCAAATAAGTTGGCATCGAACCTTTGACAATTTTAATAATGAAGATCATTGCTGAGGAAGTCAACCTTTTGGTTACTGATTGCCACTGTAAAGTCTATAACATATGGGTTATATCTATTACATTTTAGGATCAATCTTATCCCACGATTTTGAAGTTTTTGTAGAGAAGCTTTCCTGTTATTATCTAATAGACATGAATTTTCATATTTTTTTCAGTGTCCTTAACTGGAGGTGGTGAAAGTACCAAAGCCGTCACAAACGCTTCACCCACAGCTCAACCCTAAACATCGCAATATTATGTGCCCCCCAGCTACTTATATTTCCACCTTATTCTTAGAAAGTATGTCTTTTGCATCATTCCATAATAATTTTGCAACTATTTTATAATCTTCCAGATGTAACAGTCACATTGATTTACTTTTGTTAGTTCTTGCCAGACTATAAAATGAACATTCAGATAGTTTCAAAATATTAAATTCTTGACATTTTTCTTCTTATTTCC